GGACCTCAGCTCAGACTCCACTTTCTCCCGATAGTCCTTTATCAGCTGCAACTTCTTGTCGGAGGTGTCGGTTTTCTGCTCGATGCTCGAGATGACCCTCCAGGCGGCCCGGCGGCCCACGACCACGTTCTTGTAGGCCACCGACAGCAGGTTGCGCTCCTCGTTGGACAGCTCAGCCCCCTTCTCCGTCATGGCCTTCATGCAGGTGGCCATGTCGTCGTAGCGCTCAGCCTGCTCGGCCAGCTTCGCTTTCTGGATCAACTCCGTCTTCTCCATGGTGGGCTGGCGGCGTGCAGGGCTGGGGGAGGTGGGGCTCCGGGACGGGGACAGGGGAGAGGCGACGACCGGGAGAGGCGGCGAAGCCAGCAAGAACCAGGCCGGATCAGGAAGAGAGCCCTCCTCGAAAGCCTGTGGGGAGGGGCGGCCTGTTGTTTTGGTTTTTATGTTACAATGGAACCAGGTTCTGTTGTGATGAAGGATTGTAAAGTGAGGAGAATTCAGGCCTGGTTTATTACTGACCCAGTTTAATTCCTTGTGGTGCCCCTTAACATTATAGCTGTGTGACCTTGAACATGTAACTTTTGTGCCTTAATCTGATGTTAAGAAGAGATTAATACTGCTGCTTTATAGTATTATGAAGAATAAATGAGGTCAACTGTGTTTAAGTATCAGAGCAGTTCCTATCTGTAATATGTGCTTACTAAGTGATAGTTCTTTTCCTTACCTTCTATATATCTGCTACCTCATTGCAGGACACACTGTTCCCAGGACCTAGTATTTAGAATTTTAATTCTATACTTTGAGCCCTGTGCTTGTTGATTTAGAAAATAAATAGTGGGCTTCTATTACCCGTCAGGCCTCAGCATGTAGATTTAAGTAGGCTTATATGAATTCTTGGAGTACCCCAATCTACTATTTCTAGCATTCTTTCCTGGGGATAAAATTTTATTTCATTTTCAAATAATCAACATACAAATACACTTGGTGAATTTGATTGATTTGTAAACTGAACAATCTTGATAAGAATTATCATTAGGTATTCTGAAGTTTTATCTGACATTCTTTGGACATGTTACAAGGGGGGAACAGTCCTTGGAGAGGGACATCATGCTTGGGAGGGTGGAGGTACAGTGCAGGAGAGGAAGACCCTTGATGAGATGGATTGATTCAGTGACTGGGGAAATGGGGATAGGTGTGTCAGAGACAGTGAGATTGGTACAGGTTAGAGCAGAGTTTAGAGCTGTTGTACATAGGGTCGCTATGAGTAGCAGGTAACTCAATGGCACATAACAATTCTGTACTAAGCACTAGTTTTGATGAGTCATGGAAGCATTCTTGGGAGAGTACACAGGCAAAGATTCTTCCACATAACATGAGAGTAGGACTAGAATAGGCGAAGCAACACAGAAAATTTTCTAAACCAAATTAATGATGAACATCAGGGTATTAAGTAGGGATGGGACCAAAAAGAATTTTTTTTAATCCCTCCCCCTTTTAATGACTGTTTGTTATTTTGTGATATTTGATGTTTCTTCTGCAACCAGGACAATGTGTTGATGTTATTTATTATTGTACATCTTTTAACTTCCTTTTTTCTGGCATGTATATGATAGCTAATGGAGTGTACATGTAATTATCTGTTCATTATTTGTGTAGTGCTGTTGTTTGGGGATGGGGCTGCTTGGTAAAGTTGCTATTTAACACTTGTCAGGTGAGGTTTGCTCTTACCCTGGCTATGGTGGAATGTGTGGGCATTCTAATACAGTGTGCTATGGGGCCCACAGTGGATGTACTACCATTTGACATAGGATGTCCTTGCACCCACTGGGACCAAAAAGAATTTGTTGGCACTAAACCATTCCAGGAAGTAGCATCCAGAACTAATGATGACAAAGGAAGAAGTTCAAGGTGAACTGAAAACTATGGCAAAAGTTTTCCAGGAGTTGATGGAATACCATCTATTTCAATAAACAGGTGCAGCCCTGGTTGCAAAGAAGTTCAGTATATATCTGCCTCACCAGATAACTGTAAGAGATCCATATTTGTTCTCATTAAAAAAAGAAAAGGTGATTCAACAGAGTGTGCACATTATCAAACAATATCATCAATATCACGTGCAAGTAAAATCTTGGTGAAGATTATTTTCACCAAGATGTGATGTGGAACTACTGGAAATTCAAGCTGGATTCTGTAGAGGGTATGGGACGAGGGATATCATTGCTGATGTCAAATGGATCTTGACTGAAAGCAGAGAATACAAAAAAGACATTTTCAACTGTTTTATTGACTATGCAGAGGCATTTGACTGTGTAGATCATAACAAACCATGGCTAACACTAAGAAGAATGGGAATCTACGAATACTTAATCGTACTCTCGTGAAACCTATACATAAACCAAGAAGCATTTGTCTGAACATAAAAAGGGAACACTGCATGTTTTAAAAGTAGCAAAGGTTTGCATCAGGGTTGTATTCTCCATATGTATTCAATCTGTATGCTGAGCAAATAATTTAAGAAACTGGACTATATGAAGAAGAATGTGGCGTCAGGATTGGAAGAAGACATATCAATAATCTGTGTTGGCACAACCTTGTTTACAGAAAGTGATGAAAATGTGAAGCACTTACTGCAGAAGATCAAAAATTACACCTTTAATGTGAATTACATATTAATATCAAGAAAACAAAAAATCTTCACTACTGAACCAACTGGCAAGATCACAATAAATGGAGAAAAGATTGAAGTTGGCAACTACTTTATTTTACTTGGATTCATCCATGGCACCAGCAGTCAAGAAATTAAAAGGTGAATTGGGAAAATCTGCTTTCAGGGACCTCTTTAAAGTACTAAAGACCAAAGATAACAATTGAAAAACTACATCTGCCTGACCCAAGCTACAGTGTGTTCTGTTGCTACCTGTGCATCTCAAAACTGAACAGTGAATAAGGAAGACTGAAGAACCAATGCCTTTGAATTGTGTTTGTCAAGAATTCTGTCTTGGATGAAGTGCAACAAGGGTTGCAGCATCTTGAAACTTCATTTCACATATCTTGAGTTTGTTGTTAGAAGGGGCCAGTCCTTTTTAAAAAAAAAAAATCGTGATGAAAAAGGTAGAGGGTCAGAGAAAGAGAGAATACTTTCAGAAAGATGGATTGACATAGTGACTGTACCGTGGGCTCAAGTATGGCAGAGATAGTGAAGATGGTGCAGGATAGGGCAAGGTTCAGGTTCATTTTCCACGGAGAAGCTTTGAGTTGAGTGGACTCAGACATCTTTTGTTGGTTTTTTTTTTTTGACTCAGTCATCTTAAAAGTTAGCTTATTCTTTTCTCAGAAGTTAGGGGAGACAACAGTAGGTGGCAGACTCTTATAAAGGAAGGAGAGAGTTAAGGGGAATCTTGGATCTAAACACAAGTGTTAGGACAGGACATTTCATTCTCTGAGGTCTCTACTGCTTCCAGACACATCTAGCCTCCTTATTTACTGACTCTCATTCTTCTGTGCCACCCTCTTTCTCATGATGAGCCCCCAACCAAAAACCAAACTCATTGCTAGTATGGCAACCCTTTAGGAAAGAGTAAAACTATCCTAGTTTTTATGGAAATAGACCCCACATCTTACTCTCTTGCTAAGTGGTTGTTAGGTTCAGATTGCTGAACTTTTGGTTATCAGCCAAACCCCTGCCTCTCCAGAGCTCTTTTCATGTAGAGTCATACGTTCAGAACATTCAGTGCACCAAAATGAATTGGTCAGCACTTAACAATTTCAGGGAATAGAATGCAATCAAGAACCAATGGTAACAAAAAAAGAACTTCCAGATTTGGCAAAAAAAATTAAAAGCCTCAGGAACTAATGGAATACCAACTGAGGTGTTTCAACAAGCAGGTGCAGCCCTCAGGAACTAATGGAATACCAACTGAGGTGTTTCAACAAGCAGGTGCAGCCCTGGGCATGCCCACTATCCTCTGCCAAAAAATTTGGAAGACAGCTCCCTGCCCAATGGACTGGAGAAGATCACATTTGTTCCCATTCCAAAAAAAGGGTGATTCAACAGAGTATAGAAATAATTAGCCAATATCATTAATATCACATGCAAGTAAAATCTTGCTGAAGATCATTGAAAATTGGCAAAAACAGTACATCAAAAGTGAACTTCCAGAAATTTGAGCTGTATTCTAAAGAGGCCATAGAGTGTGAACTATCATAACTGATATCAGATGGGTCTTGACTGAAAGCAGAGAACACCAGAAAGATGTTTACTTGTGTTTTATTGACTATGTAAAGGTATTTGACTGTGGATCATAACAAATTATGGATAAAAGTGAGAAAATGAACTCATGTAAAACCTACACATAAACTAAGAAGCTCTTATCTGAACAGAACGAGGGAAGCCTGCATGTTTTAAAATAGGGAAGATGTGTATATCAAGGGTTGTGTCCTTTCTCCACACCTATTCAGTCTATATACATTTCTTTCTGTTTAGGCTATTGGCAGATGGTGCAGATGTCAACGCAAGGCACAGACTTGGTTGGACAGCTCTCATGGTGGCAGCCATCAGTCGAAACTACAGGTAAGAAATCTTGGTCAAATATCCACATGAACCTTCTTCCACCCTTGCTTGTCTGCTCCCTGTTTTTGGTTGGGTTTTGTTTTTTTTTTCCCCACCAAAGTCAGGGAGGTGTACTCAGCCTAAGGTACTGGATTCTCCCTGCTAAAGTGAAAAATGTGGGAGAAGCAGAAAGGGAAGATGTGGGCTTAAATCCCAGCTCTATCACTCAGTGGCTTTGTGACTGTTACTTGATGACCTGTGTGTAGTGAATTATCATCATCTTGTTTGCTGTCTGCCTCTTATCCATGTTGGAACGTCTGCAGTCACGTCCCTCGGTGAGTGCTCCACTGGGGCAGCTTCTTTAACACTTTTGATGGACACCAGAGATGGTAAGGAAAACTGGAGAAGTTAGAGCTGCGATTGTACAAAACAACTGATTAAATAAGAGCAAAAGGAGAGTCACTTATTTAAGAAAATAGACTGTGGGTGCATAGAATAACAATCATGAAATTTATAGTTGAAAGCAGTAGTTTTAATAGTCTATTCAAGCAAGACTTTAAGATTTTTATCTGCCAAAAATAGCCACCTATAGAAGAGTCATATATGTGGAAATATTTTTAAAAAGCAGTAAAACACTGCAATTTTATAATATGGTGGTATTGCCTGCCTCTACTCGTGACAGGACTTTCTTCTATCGTGAACTTGCTCTCAGCCACTAAGTTTCCTTGTTTGCCTTCATTGGCACTGGACACTTAATCTTTAAAAGAAAAATTGATGTAAATAGCTGGGAGACCTCTTATCCACTCCTGGTTCTAACTATTAAAGGTAAAGATACCTTACATTAATTTAACAACTCCACAGATAATCTGCTTCAATTGGAATTTCTGTTATTTCTACAAATATTTGTAAATTTCTACTCAGACCTAAACTTCTTGCTAATCTTTGCAGGATGAGAGATCTTGAGGCGCTCACAGTCTGATGTGAAAAGAAAGGCAGATGAGAGTTCCACAGTCTGCTGCAGTCAGTGATGTAAGAGCAGTCTATACAGGACACAGGATTCTTGCTTTATTCTTATGAGAATCAAGTAAGATGATACATGTCCTACAGATTATAAATGGCAAGTTATTCTCTGATGCCTTCATTACACCCCTTTACACACAACTACAAATGTACACAATCAAGATGTCAGGTATTCATTCATACAAATAATATTTTCTGAGTGTCTGCTGTGTGCCAGCACCAATCTAGGACCCAAGGTTTCCTTTGTGCTGTGACACAGTAATACTTCATTTTTAAAAACTGCTTTCAAAAAATGAAAACTTGAAAAAAAAAAACTGCTTTCAACAAGAGTTTTAGTTTATTTTATTAAAACCCCAAGAATTAAGAAGGTGTCATAGTTTTGAAAATTCAGATTGTCAAGTTTAAGGTTTTGGTAAAGTGTAGAATCAATGGATCTTTTCGTAGTATTCTTTCCTCATCTGCACCTAACTGCCAGCTCAAGTTCTTGCCCTTCTTAAACCTTTTGATGGCTCATCCACTTTCCCTTCTCACCTACTGTGAAATTCTCCCCCTCTGAGCTCTGGAAGCATTTAGCTTCTGCTTGTTATTAGGATTGTTCGAATACATGTATAGTTCCTACAAGGCACTGAACTCTGATGGCTAGACCATTTTCCCCTAACATTTTTATTATGTATGAACAGAAGAGAATATAGCATAACGAGCCTGAAAATATCCATCTCCAACTTTATTAGTTATCGAAAGATGCTTAATCTTAGTTCATCTGTACTCACTGCTTCTATTTTACAGGTCTCTATCTGACTCATTTTTCATCCTTTGTAATACCTGGCAAAGTGACACAGCTCTTTGCACTTTGTGAGTGTGTATAAACAATTATCAGTAGAGTCGATATCTGGAAATTCAGTGTTCAAATGTTCAAAAATCAAGTCAAGAAATATACTATTTTCTGTATTCAGAAATAAAAGCCAGTGTCAGCAGCCCTGTTTGCTCAAGCTGCTGAAAATCTCAGCAGACGTCACCTTGTCCTCTTGGGCATCACTGTCAGCTGAGGGAAGGCATGGGGATAGTTTCCAGCTTGTGCCCCTTACTTTTAGCTTGAGGTTCTCATTTAAGCTAGCGATTGTCCCGGTTTATGTAGTATTGCATCCCTATATATCTTAATTCCAAAATCTAGTACATTTTCTCTTTTTACCCACTGATACTCTGACAACATTGGTCAATCTCCTCCTCTATCTTTCAGGCATTTCCATCTGCAAGGCAGAGCCAGTAATGGAAAAGAGAGAAGGTTCTGTTCCTTTTTATATGTAGTGTGTTCAGAGTTGTGAGCTGGTAGATGTGATTTTGAGGAGACTTTTCCAAGTATAAAGAGTTGTTAGTTTAACTGATTGCTCTATCTTTATCCAGGACTATTAACAAATCAGTGATGCTTGTTGAGCTTGGCAAAGTGAGAGTAATGACTTGTATTTATTTACTTTGGTTTCTAGGAACTAATTATTGGCTTTAAAAGCATCCTTTTGTGCCTCTATCTCCCAGGGAAGATAGAATCCTACTTGGAAAAGAAGGTTGGGTTTATTTCTTCATCTCACAAATGTTTCTTCATACCTACCTTTTTACCATCATTTAGCTGATTGAAATATATCAATAATAAAAAATGTTTCTCTCATAGAACTTAATTATATGCTAGTGGTGGTTTGTGGTTAGAGTGAGGCAGGAACAGACAATACACAAATATGCAAGTAAACTATATATTAGGAGGTAAAAGATAGCTAATAATTTCAGACCTTCAACAAATCTTTAGATAGACCTGTTTAAGGAACAACTCACTGTGTTAAATCCTTTGGAATATGGATATGGAGTACAATAGTTTCAATCCTTAAGGAACTTAGCATCTTAAGAACTTTTATCTATTATTTACTATTAAGTAGGAAATCTATTGCTATTGGACAAAAATCAGAAAGTATAGATGGAACCATTATGTTGCATGGTGTACAAAAATTTAAGACCAAGCACCACAACAAGATAAAGGTAAATAATCCAATG